AGCGAATTATTCATTCCAAATATGGGATATCGAATGATACCGTCTAAAAGTTGGATAGCGAATTATTCATTCCAAATATGGGATATCGAATGATACCGTCTAAAAGTTGGATAGCGAATTAGTCATTCCAAATATGGGATATCGAATGATACCGTCTAAAAGTTGGATAGCGAATTATTCATTCCAAATATGGGATATCGAATGATGTCAATATGGGATGTGAAATCGATAAAAAGTTGGATAGCGAATTATTCATTCCAAATATGGGATATCGAATGATACCGTCTAAAAAGTTGGATAGCGAATTAGCGATTTATTCATTCTAAAAGTTGGATAGCAAATATGGGATATCGAATGATACCGTCTAAAGTTGGATAGCGAATTAGTCATTCCAAATATGGGATATCGAATGATACCGTCTAAAAGTTGGATAGCGAATTATTCATTCCAAATATGGGATGATACCGTCTAAAATGATACGAATTAGTCGTCTAAAAAATATCATTCCAAAAAGAATTATCTATTTGGATCGAAGATACCGTCTAAAAGTTGATAGCGAATTCATTCCAAATATGGGCGAATTAGTCAGTTTCCAAATATGGGATATCGAATGATACCGTCTAAAAGTTGGATAGCGAATTATTCATTCCAAATGGGATATGGGATACCGTCTAAAAATGATAGCGAATTAGTCATTCTAAAAAAGTTGGATAGTCGAATTAGTCATTCCAAATATGGGATATCGAATGATTCCGTCTAAAAGTTGGATATCGAATTAGTCTTCCAAATATGGGATATCGAATGATACCGTTAAAAGTTGGATATTCGTTCCAAAATGGGATATACCGTCTAAAAAGTTGGATGGCGAATTAGTCATTTCCAAAATGGGATATGGATACCGTCTAAAAGTTGGATAGCGAATTATTCATTCCAAATATGGGATATCGAATGATTCCTTCAAAGTGGGATTAAAAGTTGGATAGCGAATTATTTATTCCAAATATGGATATCGAATGATACCGTCTAAAAGTTGGATAGCGAATTATTCATTCCAAATATGGGATATCGAATGATACCCGTCTAAAAGTTGGATAGCGAATTATTCATTCCAAATATGGGATATCCGGATACCGTCTAAAAGTTGGATAGCGAATTATTCATTCCAAATATGGGATATTTACCAAATAAAAGTTGATAGCGAATTATTCATTCCAAAATATGGGATATCGAATGATACCGTCTAAAAGTTGGATAGTTGAATTATTCATTCCAAATATGGGATATCGAATGATACCGTCTAAAAGTTGGATAGCGAATTAGTCATTCCAAATATGGGATGTCAAATGATATCCGTCTAAAAAGTTGGATAGCGAATTATTCATTCCAAATATGGGATATCGAATATCGTCTAAAGTTGATGAATTTCCTTCCAAATGTGGGATATCGAAATTATGCCCGTCTAAAAGTTGGATGAATTATTCATTCCAAATATGGGATCTGCCGTCTAAAAAAGTTGGATGGCGAATTAGTCATTCCAAATATGGGATATCGAATGATACCGTCTAAAAGTTGGATAACGAATTAGTCATTCCAAATAAATGATTCCTTCTAAAAGTGGGATATCGAATGATTCTTCCAAAAAGTGGGATATCGAATGATTCCGATGTGGGATATCCATTCCAAAAGTTGGATAACGAATTATTCATTTATGGGATATCGAATGATTCCTTCCAAATATGGGATATCGAACGATCGTCCAAAAGTTGGATAAAGCGAATTATTCATTCAAATATGGGATATCGAATGATACCGTCTAAAAAGTTGGATAGCGAATTATTCATTCCAAATATGGGATATCGAATGATACCGTCTAAAAGTTGGATAGCGAATTATTCATTCCAAATATGGGATATCGAATGATACCGTCTAAAAAGTTGGATAGCGAATTCCAAATATGGATATCATTCGAACGATGTCTTCCAAATGGGATATCAGAATGATTCATTCCAAAGTGGGATATCGAATGATACCGTCCAAAAGTTGGGATTATTCATTCCAAATCATGGGATATCGAATGATTCCTTCAAAAAGTTGGATTATTCGAAATTAGGTCATTCCTAAAAGTGGGATATGAATTATTCATTCCAAATGTGGGATATCGAATGATACCGTCTAAAAGTTGGATAGCGAATTATTCATTCCAAATATGGGATGATCGTCTAAAATGATACCATTCCAAAAATGGGTTGGATAGTCGTTGTTGATAGCGAATTAATTCCAAAGTCATGATCAAATATGGGATTATCAAATGTGGGATTCCTTCCAAAAGTTGGGATATCGAACGATTCAAAAGGGATTCCTTCTTCCAAAAGTTGGATAGCGAATTATTCATTCCAAATATGGGATATCGAATGATACCGTGAATTAAAAGTTGATAGCGAATTATTCATTAAAATGGGTTGGATAGTCTAAAGTTGGATTATTCATTCCAAATATGGGATATCGAATGATCCTTCCAAAAATGATACGATGTCTTAAAGTTGGATAGCGAATTATTCATTCCAAATGTGGGATATCGAATGATACCGTCTAAAAGTTGGATATTCATTCCAAAATTATTCATTCCAAATATGGGATGGGATCCTTCCAAAGGGGATATCGAACGATACCGTCTATTCAAAATTGGATAGCGACCGTCCAAAGTTTATTCATCATTCCAAATGTGGGATATCGAATGATACCGTCTAAAAGTTGGATAGCGAATTAGTCATTCCAAATATGGGATATCGTCTAAAATGATTATTCCGTCTAAAAGTTGGATAGCGAATTAGTCATTCCAAATATGGGGGATATCTAAAAGTTGGATAACGAATTAGTCATTCCAAATATGGGATATGATGATTCCTTCCAAAAAGTGGGATATCGAACGATGTCTTCCAAAAGTTGGATAGCGAATTATTCATTCCAAATGTGGGATATCGAATGATACCGTCTAAAAGTTGGATAGCGAATTATTCATTCCAAATATGGGATATCGAATGATACCGTCTAAAAGTTGGATAGCGAATTATTCATTCCAAAGTTGGGATATCGAATGATTCCTTCCAAAAGTGGGATATCGAACGATGTCTTCCAAAGTTGGATAACGAATTATTCATTCCAAATATGGGATATCGAATGATACCGTCTAAAAGTTGGATAGCGAATTAGTCATTCCAAATATGGGATATCGAATGATACCGTCTAAAAGTTGGATAGCGAATTAGTCATTCCAAATATGGGATATCGAATGATTCCTTCCAAAAGTGGGATATCGAACGATGTCTTCCAAAAGTTGGATAAGGAATTATTCATTCCAAATGTGGGATATCGAATGATACCGTCCAAAAGTTGGATAACGAATTAGTCATTCCAAATATGGGATATCGAATGATTCCTTCCAAAAGTGGGATATCGAACGATGTCTTCCAAAAGTTGGATAGCGAATTATTCATTCCAAATGTGGGATAGTATAAGATGCTCCCCTGAAACTGTCATAGCGAAAAATGCCTTCCAAAAACTAAACAAAGGGTGTGAAAGTGAATGAAAATTTAATCATAAACAATAAACAAGGGATAAACCTCTCCTCCTGTTCAATAGACATGGAAGGTGTGTGAACCAAATAAATCTACTTCTACAAATATGAGATATTAAAATAAAACAAAGACAGGAATTTAAATATCTAGATGAAATTCTTACACCGAAATTCGCTTGTGCACTGTGATAGCGAAAGATGTCTTCCAAAAACTAAGTAAAATATTAAGAAACAGAAAAATATCCTTAGAATCAAAGAGATTACAAAAGTGTTATGTATAGTTCTCCTCTATGGTGGTGAAGTCTAGACCATCTCATCACTGATGGTGAAGAGACTTGAGGTAACAGAAATGTAGTTCTACAGAAGGATGTTGAAAATACCATAGACTGAACATGTGAGCAACGACGGAGTTTTAGAGAAAATCAACATCAAAAGGACGGAGATAGACAGTTGAAATTTGTAGGGCACAAAAGAAAGAGGAAAGAAGGCTTGGAAAATTTGACATTCACAGAAGAATTTGAAGCCAAGAGAGACCGGGGAAAACAGTGCATAACCTACCTAAAGAGCATGCGTAAATGGTTAGCAGATCAGAGTTTAGGGGAGATAGCAAAAAGACAAACTTTCCTAAAAGGACAGGAATGTGTAAATGTTGATTTTCTAAGCGTAGCTTAGATGTGGCACAAGGCCGAAAATGTGGGGTACCCAGTGAGGATCGAACTCATTATTCAGTCGTAATAGATCTAGCGCTACAAGCTTGCTAACCATTATACCACAACGAGTTGCCCATTCTTTATTTTCTAAGCGTAGCTTAGATGTGACACAAGGCCGAAAGTATGGGACACCCAGTGAGAATCGAACTCACTACTCATTGCCTCGTGGGTGCCCCTGGGGATGTGTGAATATCCAGTATCGGCAAAGTCCTGAAGGGGTATACAGCACATATAGAAGAAGAAAACAAATAGAAGATTTATTCCTACCGTAGATCTTATTAGACACAACAAGAGATTCACGACCTAATAACAAAATATCACAATTCTAAAAAATATAGTGTAATAAAAGTTATGTGACGGATAGAAGATTTGTTATTACCCTAATTATTATTATTAATCTCAAAATTCCTTCTCTCTTTCTAATTTATTAGTAAGTTGAGAACTTTTTATTTAAAGGAAACAGTTTATGGCTTTTCTTTGACCAATGCGAATGATGGACATCGTTACTCCTTCCCCTTGAAGCCTATTATTAAGTACAAATGTTATTTCTGTAGTTGAACGCGGCTAACTGAAACCGCGGAAAATGTGGCCAGTGTATTATTGAGACTTGTATCAAGATCAGTGTTAGCAGCAGCAGCAGCAGCAGCAGCAGCTGTGGCGGCCATATGGGTTTGCGGATCAAGTGAAACTCTGAAGCTTGGTCGGAATGAAAAGATTTAAAAATAGAGAAATGAATCAGTCAGGTTTAAGTTACACAAGTCGTTAAACGCTACATTCGTTTCGGGCTTGAAATAAATAAAGTCTTTTTTTTTTTTTTCGTTTGCATTCGTTTTAAAAGGAATAGATAAGTAGGCATGAATGGAATGGACAAAGAAAGGGTCGATAAAGAAAAGAAAGACACAAGGAAGGTAAATATGGAAAGTGAGAGAAAGAAAAAAGGGAAATGAAGAGAAAATGAAGAAAGTAAATGGGGGGAAAAGAAGATAGGAAAGAAAAAAGGGAAATGAAGAGAAAAGAAGTAAAGAAAGAAAGTAAAAGATGAAAAGAGAGAAAAGAAAGTAGAAAAAGAGAGGGAAAGGGAAAAAGAACGAGGAGGAAAGGAAAAAGTACAAACTGAAAAGAAGAGGGAAAAGAATGAAGAGGAAAAGAAGTAAATTAAAGATGAAACGAAGAGAGAAAAAGAAGAAGAAAATCAGAAAGAATAAGAAGAAAAAAAGGAAAGTAAAACATGTAAAGAAGGAAAGGAAAAAGAAAAAGGGAGAAAGAAAAGGAAAAAATGAGGAGGAAAGAAGAAAAGGAAGAAAGTAAAAACTGAAGAAGAGAAAGAGAGGAGGAAGAAAGAAGAAAAGAAGAAAAGGCAGAGCAGAATGAGAAGAAAAGGAATGAAGTAAATGATGAAAAGGAGAAAGGAAAAAAAAAGAAGAAAATGAAAAAGTGTGAGAAAAGTGTTTAGAGAGGAGAAAAAGGTGAATGAAAGAAGAAAAGAAAAAAAAAGGAAAGATGATCAATTGCTTTTATGGTGAGGTTGGTTGATATGACATGTCAAGTTTTGTTGGGATATTTTATATTGATTTTTGAATTAGTCACCCAGTAAGGATCGAAATCAGTAATAATGGTCAACAGGAGTAGATAGGTTCGCCTATCGTCCGGTTCACACTCTTCCTTGGTCTTTTGAACAAGAGTAGAGGTTTATTCCTTTTTTCCTGCTTACGCACCATACACGTGTTCAAATGGCGGGAAAGGAGATGAGAGAGAGAGGCGAGAAAGAGGGGAGAGAAACAGAGGGGCGAGAAACGGGAAGAGAAAGAAAGAAAGAAAGAAAGAAAGAAAGAAAGAGGGAAGAAAGAGGGAAGAAAGAGAGAGGGCGAGAAACAGGAGAGAAAGAGGGGGAGGGAAGGAGAAAGAAAGAAAGAAAGAAAGAAAGAGAGAGGGGGAGGAAGAAAGAAAGAAAGAAAGAAAGAAAGATGGAAGAAAGAGAGACGGAGAGATAAAGAGAGAGGGGGAGAGAATAAGGGAGGGGCGAGAAACGGGGAAAGAAAGAAAGAAAGAAAGAGGGAAGAAAGAGAGAGGGGGAGAGAGAGGGAGAATGAAAGAAAGAGGGAAAGGGAGGCGAGAGAGGGGGAGAGAAAGAGAAAGAGAGGGAGAGAGAAAGAGAGAGGGAGAGGGAGAGAAAGAGAGAGAAGGAGGAAGTGACAAAGGAAGAGGGAGCGGGAAAGAGAGACAAAGAGAGAGAGAGAGAGAGGGAGAGAGACAAAAAGAGAGGGAGAAAAAGTGAGAGAGGGAGAGAGACAAAGAGAGAGGAAGAGAGAGGAAGAAAGAGGAAGAGAGAGAAAGAGATATAGTGAAAAACAGACAAGCTTGGCAATTAACATGTATCTGTTTGTTTTTGGATTTAAATCTGTGTCACCAATTATAGACTAAAAAAAATGCCCCCCTCCCATCATCGTCATGGTGGTCATCTTTTATTCTGCTTCTCCGTACCAACCTTTCACCATCTTTTCCTTCCCCTGTCTCTCATATTATTTCGGTTGGCAAAAGACAATGCTGACTTGACCACACTATAATTAAAACAAGCGCCCGGGGACATCGAAAATGACCCCTTGTACATCATCACCTGAAAACTGTCTGTGTGTTGTCACATGCAAACCTAGCGCGCGCGCGCTCGCTATTTGCAGGTTTCATTGAACGGTTACTGCTGGGCGCTTTTGAAAGGAGGAAGGCATCAACATGAAGAAGGTAATAAGGGAAAGACATTTTCCCAAGAATAATCATAACAATGCACAAATATTAAAAAGAAAATGAATGCTGTGGTGGGCCGTGATCGCTTACGTCCTTAATGTGGAGGAAGAATTGCATATCAAGGTCTATTATCTCCCACCACATCTCTCTGTCTCTGTCTCTCTGTCTCTCTCTCTCTCTCTTCTCGAACGGGGAAATTTTGCATTACAATAGACAGTAAAAATTTAAAAGATATTTTTCTATGTGACGTGTCTTTTCAGGAAGTGGGTGATTATGGCTCTCCACGACTTCCGTAATGTTATTCTTATACTTTTTCTATTTTTGTTGTTATGCTAATAACTGTTTTTAATGTTATTGTTGTTGTTGTTGCTGTTGTTTCGATAATGATTCTTAAGTTCTCTAAATTTCGCCCTTTTCCAATCCTTGGATGATGTGAGTTCCAAAAATCATTACAACGTATGAATTATTTTTTCAAACTTGAGTTTCGGATCCTCGTCGCCATTGTTATAATCCTCGTATAAGACTGTAGTTCTGGTTAATAATATTCTAAGGAAAACACTGACGCAAAAGTGTTTAATCACATGGATTAATAATACAATAATAGCGAATAACGTAGTTAGTGAGCAATGCGTAGGACACACTTTGCGATAGAGGGTCCTATGAGCTGACTTTCCTCTCATAGTAAATGGAAGAGTCTATGTGCAACAATTCAGTGTAGCGAAGGTCGGTCGTCTTTCTACACAACGCTATCTATGTAAGTCCGGTCATTATCTATCTATCTATCTATCTATCTATCTATCTATCTATGTCAAGCTGTCCATTATCTATCTATCTATCTATCTATCTATCTATCTATCTATCTATCTATCTATCTATCTCAGACTGGTCATTATCTATCTATCTATCTATCTATCTATCTATCTATCTATCTATATCTATCTATCTATTATCTATCTATCTATCTATCTATCTATCTATCTATCTATCTATCTATCTCAGACTGGTCATTATCTATCTATCTATCTATCTATCTATCTATCTATCTATCTATCTATCTATCTATGTCAAGCTGTCCATTATCTATCTATCTATCTATCTATCTATCTATCTATCTATCTATCTATCTCAGACTGGTCATTATCTATCTATCTATCTATCTATCTATCTATCTACTTAAAGAGAACACTTTACATTTTCCGTTTGGTATTTCCGAATTGCCAGCACCATTCTCTTTGCGCTTTAGAAATACCAAATACAACTTTAGCATTCGGGGGTGCGGGGTGAAATCGCGGATAAGGGGGGCAGTGCACAGTATTCCCCTTCAAAATATCATTTTTTGCAGAAAACGTGATAAAATGAGTGAAGAAAGAGTCTTTAATAAGTTTTCGGATTTTATAAGTATGAAAAGTTCTTTATAAATCACAGAAACCACATATGTTGGCTTGCATTCTTCCTTCAGACTCATTTTAGAATTTCCTGAAGACGATATGCCACCAATTCCCCCGACGCAGTGAAACAATCGTTTACTCAATGACTGGATTGTAAATAAATTAGTAATCCAGGGTTAATTTTAACAGTGTCCGATAACCACTCACCGGAAGTGAAAATCATTCACCGGAAGACATCAGGTCGGCTGTAAAGTGGGTCTACTCACCTGTCGTTGGACATGGGTGGGGGTGTTTTGGGGTTTGATCAGCCACACCTCGGAGTTGTACTCACTGGCTTTGCCGCAGAAGTAATGACTCAGTGATAGAGCATGAGACTGATGTAAGCAGCGTATTGGTTACATTTGATAGAGAGTGTTTCTCTTTCTAGCCACCAACTATTCCGTCTTTTTTTCTTTTTTTTTTTTTTGGCGCTTTATAATCTTTAGCAATAGTGGCAGACCAAGATGCGAGCTACGAATTGGAAACATAAAAAACAAGTAAGTACAGAAATTTTATCAATTCCTTGATGTTTAAATTTTTGTACTTGCTTGATTTTGACCACTCCACTTTGCAATTCGCATACTGGGCTCTTCTTTTCGCTGACACCCAAACATTATATCTTCTTACAATTGAGGTTTAATCCTTTCTTCTAGCTTTTTATACTATCTTCGTTAGGAGTTCTTAAATTTTTATTTTCTGTTGTAGCATACTAACGGACGATAATATGTATGTACCCATTCAGTAGTAAATACTGTATGTTGGTCTGCAGTCGCAGATTCGTCTCCAGCTGTACTGGTCAAACTCTCTGGCTCAGAGCAGAGAGGGTCTCCAGACGAGGTTGTGTCGAAGGGCAAAGTCTCGTCCCGAGAAACAGCTAACCGACCCCGTTTTATACGGGGTCTACGAGGAATTATTGGCCGAGCCTACGGGCTCAGATGCTCCGCATTAAATTTAACGTTGACCTCGTGGGTCGGTTGATAGATAACCTACAGTTAGAGATTACGCTCCAGCTGTGTTGGTCAAACTCTCTGCCCCAGATGAGGATCTGACTGCGTGGGGCGGTTGATAGATATCCTGCGGTTGGAAATTCGTCTCCAGCTGTGCTGGTCAAACCCTCTGCCTCTGGGCAAAGAGGATCCCCAGACGAGAATCTGACTGCCTGGGGCGGTTGATAGATATCCTGCAGTTGTGGAATTCACTTGACTCACTTCTTGCAGTTGACTACTTCTACGCAGCGCTGGCGAATCTTATATGTGTTGTTCTTGTCCTAAGTATTATCATTCATTACTAACCTTAGTGTGATTATTCTATTCAGTATCCTTACCAATATTACAACACTTTCTGTGCCTTCTATCAACAATATCATCTGCATATTGTTAAGATTGTTGCCGCCAATAAACACTGTAAATGTTGAATAAGTCCGGTGAGACGGCACATCCTTGTCTTATACCCTTTTCAAACATTAACTCTTGAAAAGTGTGCCCATGTATATTTGGTCAGTTTTATCAGATGTTTGCTACTTAGTAGTTATATCAATAAGACTGTAGCCTGCTACTACTACTACTACTACTACTAATTATAATAATATCCTTATATTACTTTTCAGTATTTTTCTCTTTCCTTGTCAGTACACTTAATTTAACGTTTCTCCATTACTCACATATATCTAACATTATACAATGAAAATTTCACATCCAAATTCTACTTAATGGCTGTGTCTGTTTATGGACTTACTGACCCACCTCTTATTAATAGCAATTTACTATTCCTTAAGGTCGACAAGCTAAAACACCACTAAGAGAGAAACCCTTCGGTAAACCAAATTTTTATTTACAAGAATTATTATCGAAGGGGAAAAAACGTTGATTAGTGATTAATTGGCATATTTTTATGATTTTATGCGTAAGGAGAAATAAAATTAGATCTTCCTAAAAACAGAAAATCTACAGATAATAATGATCTCATAAACTATTATTCTTACCAGTGCGACAGATTAAAATCTGGAATAGTTATAGGATTTTATTTAAGAGCACTAAGAACCTGCAGCCCAAAATCTTTACCTGAATAAGAAATATACATAGAAAACTTATTTGAAACCTCCAATATCCTCATTATTTCATCCACAATGTTAATAGAACTACAAAAAAGATAACATTATTATTGATAACAACAACAATGACAATAAACTAGATAAAAAAAACACATAATACTGCCTACTAACTCCTTAACATCTACTATCCGAAACAATTTATTCAATCTAAACAACATCACAATAATTACAACCAAATCCCAAACAATTATCTATAGGATCTGAACCCCAAATATCCATAACAATAATAATTCTGAAGCAGGTATATATAAAATAAATTGCCACAACTGTTTCACATAATACATTGGTGAAACTTGCAGAAATTTAAAAAAATGTGTCTATGAATGCAAAAAGATTTTATACATAATTTATCAAATGTATTTTTCAGACTTAGATAAGTTCAAGCACTGATCTAAAGAATACCGCACTTATTAAAAGAGAACTAACTTAAACGGAAAATTCTTGAAATTCTTGAAAGTGCCACTGTCGATTCTTTCCAAAATATAAATATGTGCCGCGGATTTTTATAAAAATTCCTTTCCCGAGTCAAGATACGTGACGATATTTTATTTCAGTTTTAATTTCAAACTAATAGATTAAATTTAATATTTCTAATAAGCAAAATATTTTGCTGCATTTAAAAACTAATCGAAATTGACCGCAATGAGTCTTAATTTTGAAATCGCTAACAATCGCTGATTTTAGCACCATTTTTAGCAATCACTCATCCCAATGTAATTTGTTAAACTGTCTTTCAAAAATAAAATATACTCTTCTGAAACTTATTTGATGAATATTAGCTGATGTAAAGTATAATAAATCTGATTTGAAACAAATATTACACTATTTATATTCGGACAATTGTCCTCATCTTTGTAGTTTTTATTACAACGTTTCGACCGTTGTGCCCTCTCCCCAGTCTTCCTCAGGTGTATATCGATCTGGGTCATCTACAGAGAATTCCGAACTGAATCCTTTATTTAATCTACGGGGATAGACTGTTCTTGTTGCATTGCTCATGTCTAGAGATATTGCTTATTTTTTTAGCATGGGGGTAGACAGGATAGTTATAGGCCAGGAGATCAATCTACCTAACAAGGATATATATATATATATA